GTCTTTTGATTAATATTCTAAAGTTATTTGGACTATACACTTGTTCTTTTATTAAATTAAATATGAGGCCTTAGCATAAAAAAGGAAATCAATCACTTCTGTATTTGTATTTTTCCGTAAACACATCATTAAGAATAAGTTAGCAAGTGGAGCTCAACCCGGTTCCTCGTGGGATCGATCTTTTATTTACTACGTTGCGATCCGTATACCTTGCGCGGAACTCAAAAGAGACGCAACACCAGCCGCGAGCACGAAGTTCGGCATCCGGGAAGCGAACTACGAAAGACCTGATTCTCCCCATCCCCGAAGAGTTTTTTGGAGATACAGTTAGGCAGCCGCAAAGGCCACTGGTCACAAACATAAGTTTGCATCATAAATAAGATTTTCTCTTTGCCATATAAAAAATAAAAAAAAAATAAAAAAAAAAAAAGAAGAGAAGAAAAAATGAAAAGCTGGGAGTTAAAAACCCGAAAAGGACGGCTTCAGGCAAGAATGAGCCCGCCTAGGCTGAAAAACCTGAAAGGCGTCTTAGGCAAAAGTGTAGGGCAAAAAAGCCTGCCTAGAGTCGAAAACCCGAAAGGCAGCTATGGGCAAAAAGAGTTGAAGGCAAAAAAAACAAAAAAAAATAAAAAATAAAAAAAAAAAGGTGCTTTCAGAATTCTTTTAGAGAGTCCATTTTTGTAGGATAAACAGCAAAGTATGTCCTTTAAAAAAAAAAATTCCCTTTCCAAAGGTCTGTCCTTTGGGAGTATATAAATCATTTTTCCAGGAATCACTTGGAGTTCCTTTCGAGTCAAAACTCTTCACTTACAAGAAAAAATTTGAGTCTTTAAATCGAGTCTTCCAATGAGTCTCTAAAATTAAGTCTCCATCACCAGTGGTCATTCCACAACGAGTCACAAAAATTCGAGTCATTCTCAAAAAGTTCATTTTGAAAGTCATTCTCAAAAGTTCGTTTTGAAAGCGTCACTCTTTGAGTCATTCCTCGAAAAAAAAAAGAGAGAGAGGAAAATGTCAATTCAATCCCCGGGGTTTCCTAAACAACCCTAAAAAAATGTCAAGCATAATCTTTGAGAAGTAATTCTTTAATACCTCATCTCCACTCGGACCATCGTTTCTTCGATCCTTTCAAGACAAACGATGTCATCCACATTGTCCGTTTCCTTGAGTCATGTAAGTGGCTTTTGTTCTCTTTGATTCCTCAATCGATTGGACAAGTACAAATACCAATGTCTTGAAGTATTCCATGGTCAGCACCATTCTGGGGGCAAGAAGTGATAAGAACCTTCACCATTCTTCCATCACAGAGGTAATCACGGAATTTTTAGATCTTTATTTAAGAAGAAAAATTCTATTTCAGCTTTGAATCAGCTAATAAGGGCATCAATTCTCTCAAGCAGGGGGCAAAATCCTCCAAGTCGGATTCAGGGGCAAGTGTTATAAAAAGAAAACATACACAACCCAGGGCGAAACCCAACCATCGTCAATCTCTTTTACACAAACCCAGGGTAGAACCCGGTTAATGGTTAACCTTTTTTAACATAAAACCTAGGGTGAAACCCTAACCAATAACCAACCATTTTTCATCCAAACCAAGCCATTGGATCATTTCGACCTTAGGTGGACCCTTGGTTCTCAAAGAAAAAAAACAAATCCCTTCTCAAGCCCTCATTAAGAGGCAAAATCTCTTTCCAAGTCCTCTAAGAGGCAAAATCTCTTTTCAAGCCCTCATTAAGGGGAAAACCTCTTTTCATTGAAGAGGCAATAACATCTTTCAAGTCCTCTAAGAGGCAAAATCTCTTTTCAAACCCTTATTAAGAGGCAAAACATTACTTTCCCAAGGCCTCATTAAGAGGCAAAAAACATCTTTTCAAGCCCTCATTAATAGCAAAATCTTCTTTTTCAAGCCCTCATTAAGAAGGCCAAAAAATCATCTTGTAAGTTGCAAACATTTAAATCCAGACCATTTGATCATTTCATTTCAAAGAAAAAAAAACCCAACCGCGGCGTTTCCTCCTCTGCCCATCCTCAAAATTTGCTCCTTCAAGGAACAGGCCACTGGCTTTCTCATAAATCATTGTTTTATGATAGCCAGTGGGGGCAACGTGAATACTCAAATTTTTGAGGCTCAAAAAAGCCAGTTTTCCCAGACTGCAAACAGTTTCGGCCGGACCAGAGGGCCCATTTTTTGGAAATTTTACCGGAAGTTGCCAATATGGTACTTTAAAGTTTGCCAATATGGTACTTAAAACGTCCGGGACGTCGCGAGGATCGCGAAACTGGTCCCAGAATATTTTTTGGAGGTCCGGAGCTCCTGAAAAAACCTCCGGAGCGTAAAACTAGAAAGTGCGTCGGCCGCTGCGGCGGCGGTGGTAGCCGCTCTCGCCGGCGACAGCGGCTGCGGCCGCCCTCACCGGCGGCCCAGGCCTCCGGCAGCAGGGGCCGCCGAAACAGTCCGTTTTTGCCTATAAATACAGCCCTGAGGCCTTCATTTCAACCCACTCAGTCTGTGTTGACGGACGCTCCTTCTCCCCTACGCTCCTTGCAATTCTTTACTGCTTTTCTGCATTTTTTAGTTTAGCTTTAATTGCTTTCGTGCTTTGTTAAGTGGTCATTAAAATCAAATTAATTAATTTTCCCTTAACGAGGAGTTTAACCTGGAGTTAAGAAGCGGTCGACGATTCGATGTAAATCAGTACATGAACTAAACTCTGCCTATTTAAAATTTAGCCACTTTAAGCATGTTTCTCTTCTACTTTCCTCCTAATTCTAAACTGCATAAATGCATTCATGTCATCAATTAGGCAAGTAAACTGCACTCAATTAAATAAAAATTTAGGCCTAAATGCCCGGTTAATCAATAATTGTGGATTAAAGCCTAAATCCGACAATATTGGCCAAAAAAAGCCTAGTTAATCAATAACTATGGTGTGATAATTTGCCTTTATTTCGAAACAAATCCGGCTTAAGGTCCAATTAATCCAATAATTGTGGTAAATAGTTTACATTAAACCACGTTTTTTTCTTGGGCCAACAAAATTGCCTACATTGCAATTCAGTTGAATCACTTTGGCAAATACTACTGCCTATTAAAGTTAGATTACACTACTTTCAGCGACAAAAATCGCTTAAATCAATTCTTTTGGAAATGCCTTAAATTAATCAACCTTTTTTTGGGCTTTAAAAGCCTTCGATAATCATTTTTTGGCGACAATTGCCTAAATAATCATCTTTGGCAAACAAATTTGCCTAATCAACCTTTTCGGCTAAAAAGCCTTCAAATTAATCAAGTCTTTTGGCTAACAAGCCTAAAATCAAGCATTTTTAGCGACAATCGCCTAAATCACATCAATTTTTCTGGCAAACAATTGCCCTAAATCATTCTTTTTTGCTAAAAGCCTTAATATCAACACTTTTTGGCATCAATGCCTAAAATCAATTTTTCAGGCAAAATGCACAAAAACATACACCACACTTCATGCATTAAAGCATACCCATTCAAAGCCCTTTAAAAAAGGCCTATCGAACTACGCTTGACTTTTGATTTTCCATTCGAACGGAAGTACTTAGGCACGTTTGGATTAACCCGAGCGGCAAGTTGAAATCATTTACAAAAACATTTCATTGGCTCCAATTACATCATCACCCTGCAAAGCAATTCATTCATAGGTTAGTTCATCAGCATGACATAGTCTCGGGATCCACCCTCGGCTGTGCATGACATAGTCTCGGGATCCACCTCGGGTTCGTAGACCATGTCTTAAACATTGGGTTAATTAATCTAGTAATTAGGTTAATTAAAATCGGAGTCACTTAGGATTTTTCCTAGTTTACCCTAAAATAATTAAACGATGTAGCGACTCATACATTCACGTGCATTTCTGCCCTTAGTAACATGCATTCATATGCTTGATATTTGGGGTAGGGGTTCACAATATAATATGAATTTTAACCGTGATGATTACCTAGCAATTCTACTAATGATGTTGATATAGAAATTTAGTGTTTTTAATTTTATGTGGATCACTTATTATAGATGATTGTCTACTTATTTGAATTTTAATAAATTATGATTACTTGAAAAACTCTATACTGTGATTTATAATTTATAAATTTACTAAATATTCATTATTGTCAAATTCAAGAGCCAATTCTTATTTGGAATCAGTAATTCACAAAGCTTTTATGAAGAAAGAGTTAATAATGTTATGTTGAACAAACTAAAATGAGAGATATTACAAGAATTAGTTTTGACTCTTCTAAATATGTTGGAATTCTTAAAATTGTGACTTTATCTTTAAATAACCATAGATGAAAGGTTAACCGTGATGCTAAAAGTTAGCAATTTCACTAATGAGGTTAAAATATCAAATTTAACACTTTTTATTATATGTGTATGACTATGACTTATTATAAACTATTATTTATGTATTTAAATTTTTAATAAGTTATATATATTTAGTGCAACATGTCTGCATTATATCGTACCCCATGTTCCATACCATGTATGCAACCTAATACAACCAAATTCATTTTATCAAACATGTTTGATTTCAATAAAAAATTATCAGACCGATCAACATATAAGATGAAAGAATAAATAATTGCTCTTCTTTTTTCTTTTTTTTTTTTTTTTTTTCTTTTTTTTTTTTTTTTTGTTTGAAAGCATAAATACCCAATTTCTTGATATAACAGATGAACCAATTAAGTTTTTCTTTTTTTTTTTTTTTTGTTTGAAAGCATAAACCAATTTCTTGATATAACAGATGACCAATTAAGGCCAACAAGCACAATGCAACTATAGCTCAAGTTAGTCCATTCCTTTACGTGGCTGTCCATTGATAGCCAATTAGTGACAAAGTCCTAATTAATAAGTTAACAAGTAACTATATTTTTTTTTTTTTCATTTTCAAAAAATGATCAATCTGCATAATTCTACAAATTCTTGTCTTTTACAACTCTTTATTACTTTCAACTTTTGAGTTTGATTATTTTCTTTATCAATTAATTTGCACACCAAAAAGCCTCAATCCTTTGCTCTTGGAACTAATTTTCAATTCCAATTCTCTAAAACCATTCTCTCCTTTTTCTTCATGTTTGTGGAATTTGTTTCTGATTGTTTGTCCCAAATTCAATTCCAGATCTTTCTGCATCTCCTCGATATGGCTAACTCCGTCATCAGCGACACAACTTTGGCCATTGCTATAACTTATGTCAATTAAGGAAAAATGCTGCCCTTCTTGTACCGTATTTGGGCCTATACATGCATAAAATGTTACAATATCTTTCTCCTTCAAATTTTTTTCCTTCACAAACCTATTCCAGCCTCTTGTGAAAACATAACTTTGGCTACTCTTCCAATAGCAATATCTAAACTTCCAACACTTCATTAGCCTATCAAAAAATACAAGTTCCAAATCCTCTATTCCAGCATCTTCTTCGACATTTCCACTAATATAAGGAAAATATTTAATGGCAAATTTTTTTGGGATAACAAGTCTATTAAGTTTACCCACATCACTTGGTGTTAATTCTTTTTGAAAAAGCTGTATGCATGAAAATTGTCCATCACCATATGTTTGAATACTATTATTCTCAAGACTACTTGTGCCCGCAAGTCCTTGTCTTCTAGATTGTGTCTTAAGAAAATCAGCAAAGTTTGGTTGGTAAGACCCATCTCTAATCATATTCAAAATCACTTGTGCACTAAATTGGATTTGGAAGTTAGGCTCTTGAATGTTCCTTTCATTCCAAGGAAAATTTCTACATGAATCTCCACTGCGAAGCTTTATCGCTGCGCTATCATATGCCATTGCTGCTTCTTTCTCAGATTTAAATGTCCCCAACCAAATCCTTTGATGATTTGCATATATTTGTGCACCCCAATGTCCATTTTGTTGTTGCACCACCCCTTTGAATTTTGGTGCATTATTATTATTATTATTATGCTCTAGTCTTGGACGTTTGCTTGCACAAAAAGGAGGATAATTGCTATCAAATGAATCTGAAATTTGAAAAGTTACAATGTTCGTCTTGCCATTAGAAAGCAAGCTTGATGATGCATCGTCTTCCATTGCAAAATCGTAGCAAATTATTAATTTAATTAGGAAGACTAGACGGTGATTAAGGAATTGATTGATAAGAACTTGAGAATAACAAATACAATTAATATAATAATTTGGGGAAGAAGAACTTTTGTAACAAGAGATCTTTTTCTGTTGCATGAAAATAATAAGAGTTCTATCTGGAAGGTGGAGAGAGTTCAATAAAATGAAACTGAGTTAGGTACTATTGATAACAAATGCAACAAATTATTACTCTTATGAAAAATATCATCCAATAAAAAGAAAAGACAAGAGTTGGAATAAAAATTTTAATGTGATTTCTATTAGGATAGTTATTAAGTTAAAACAAATTTGAAAATGTCATGTATTTGTATTTCTTGATATAGCAAAATTAGCTATCCATACTATTTTATATTAAAAACCATATAGTTTTATTTGTTGTTGGTTGCAAATTTTTATAAGCATAAGAGGTTTTATCAACTTGAATTCATATTAGGATTTGAACTAATACAAGGTCATTAATACTAATAATGTAGTTTTCTTTTTCTTTTCTTTTTTTCTTTATTTTTTTATTTTTGAAATTGCACTGATACTAATGCAGTTAATAATGTTAACACTTGCCAAAGTTCTAGTGATTAGTTTATGATTATTGTTTGCCCGTAATGTTCTCTATTTCATCAACTTCCTAATAAAGTAATATGATGTAACTCAAATTAGCAGTATCAGTTAGATTTGGCCATTCTGTCTGTTATCTTATATATAATTAATGTTTTTAGCTAGATTTAATAGCCTTGTTTCTTTCTAAGCATGCGAAGTCAAAGTATTATTCAATTGGTGAATACTTCTTTAATGTGAGCAAACTTGATAATGTAAATACCGGGTAAAGTTGTAATTTTTATTTTTAAGCTAGATTATATAATTTGCCTCCAAGAAAATCTATTTTTCTCTTCTAACCATGGAGAAGAGACCTTGATTAATGTTTTATTATTTTCTATCTAGGGTTGTTCTTGGTTTTTAAGAGTTGTGTACTTAATTTCCATAAGGTTACACTTTTGGGACAATGCTTGCAAGTATATAAGGTTATTATAATATTGAATGAGTTAATCAAAGTCGTCTCTCAAAGAAGTAAATGCGTAAATTTAAAGTTAAAATAATAGTTATAGAATGAAAAAAAAAAAAAAAAAAAAAAAAAATTTAAAAAGTTTTAAAATAATAGTTAATAGAATGAAAAAAAAAAAAAAAAAAAAAAAAAAAAAAAAAAAACAATCCTAACACCCTAATCCAATTTTGATGATTCGGAAGAAATAAAATTAAAAACTTTGAAAGGAATCAAAATAAGAGTAACCAAGAAATGAATAAACAACAATCATCTCTTGAATTCCTCAAAAAAAAAAAACAATCATCTCTTGAAGAATGTCGATGTGAAAACATTCTAGGGGTATTGTATTTCACTTCCTCACTCTCATGACTGGTTGAAAAAAATGCCAATATTTGAGGCTTAAATATATTAACTCCATAAAAAAAAAATATTCACACCTTTACTAGCTTAATTTTCTAGTCCACTTGAAGACTATCTAGATGGTCACGTTCACAACCTATTTTCTAAAAATTAAACCACTCATTAATCTTCTCTAGTCGGCACCTCAATTAATATTTAACTCAAAGCTGAAAATGGTCAATCCTAACTAAATGAATTAAAGTATATATATAAATATATAATTTCTAAAACCTAAATGCTTATGTTGCAATACATTAGAATATAAAAGTGATGGCTGACATTTTATTTTTCATTACAATTCATCTTTTTTTTTTTTTTTTTTAGAATATAAAGGATGGACTGACATTTTATTTTTCAATTACATTCATCTTTTTTTTTTTTTTTTTTGCATTTAATAAAAATATTTTTTATTAAAAATGGAGTTAAAACAATAAAATAAATGGAGTATTTCATTATAATTAATATTTTTTCATTTAATAAATATTGAAGTTTTTTATTTAAATAAGTATTTTCTTCTATATAATAAAAGTAAATAGAGAATTATAATAGAGTCATTAGTTCAATAAAATATTTGAAAATCTAAAATATAATACCGGTAACGAGTTTAAATAAGAAATAAATATATTAATTTTATTTCCAACTAAAATATTGTTTCATTAAATTTGAATATTTTTTTTTTTTTTTTTTGCATTTAATAAAAATTATTTTTTATTAAATAATGGAGTTACAAACTAATAAATAATGGAGTATTTCATTATAATTAATATTTTTTGCATTTAATAAATATGAAGTTTTTTATTAAATAGTATTTCTTCTATAAAAAACTAATAGAATTATAATAGAGTCATAGTCAATAAAATTAATTAAATAATACCGGTACATTAATAAATAGAATAAAATATTAATTTTAATTCACTAAATTTGTTTCATTAAAATTGAATATTCTCATATCTCATTTAATTTGAATATATGAAAATTTCAAAGAGAAAAATAAATAATTAACTAAATATATCAATTGAATTACAATAATTTGCTTACAATAACTGATTGTGCGAATTAATATTTCGGTTCGTTACTTGAGAATTTCAAAAAGAACTTATAATTTTACCTTTTATCATTTAATCAAAATTACATAAGTAAATTATCTAAATTAAAGCAACACAGATATACATTACAATAATTTTCTTGAAAATTAAATTCAATTTAATTAGAAAATAAAAATTATACAATTCGTGCATCGCACGGGTATATGACTAGTTTAATTAAGAAGAGAAAGCAATACATATCTCAATCCAATAAATCAACTAACAAAGATTCATACACTCCTAGAATAAAATAATTAGTTCATGGCAAAGGGTTTGACCAAAATAACTTGAATTTAATTGCAAAACATTATGATCCAATTGTTTAAACAAAATAAATCAAGAAATAAATGAATTAAACACCCTAACTAGTACCTTTTACCTCCTAGCTCCAGAGGCACAATAAAACTATTTGTTCTTGTAGCAAATAACTCAAAATAACAGAAAGGAAGGTCTTCTTGCAAATCAGCTCTTTCATTGTTGTTTGGATCATCTCCCTATTAGTTTCCTCCACTTTATGATGAGAAATGTGGTTTAAGGTGTTGTATCCCAGTATCTCTCATCCCTTCTCTCTCTTTCCCTCCACTATTAGCTTCTTGCAAAACCGCTTGTACACGATTCTCTCCAATAAAAAGTATCTCGAGATTCTTGGAGAACAAGCATATGTCAAAATTAGACATGGTCGTGTTGACCTGGTAACAACGGTGAAGTGGAACTGCTTGAGCTCAACATGGTTATGTTGGAATTGAACACGGGCACGTTGACCTGTAGAGCACAAAGCCCGATCTCCAACACGCCTTATGGTTTAAATTTTGCTTATTCTTCTTATTCAAAGGACACGTTTCTGATCGCACTGTAAAACAATTATGGCTGACTAATAACTTGAGTGTGCAAGGTATTAAAGTTTACTAATTACAGAATAAATTACGCCACCCAAACTTCTTAATCAAAGGACAGAAGGGTTTGGCTCCACGATAAATGTTTCATCGACGGTTGGAAATTAATTAACAGTGCTTGAAAACTAAAGGTTGTTAAAGCTTTGTAAAACAAAGAGATTTCTTGAATTAAAAATACTATATTGACAAAAACTGGAATTGAAAAAGAGAATTTGACAATACTAGGAAAAAGAAATTACAATGAACATAAAAGAAATTGAAATTGATATTTGCTTAAGAAATTGTAGTTGAGTTTGATCTTAAGTTTGATTTTTTTGGAGTTGATTGTTGGGGGCTTCCTCTGATGTTTGACCTTGGTTTTTTTAAGGCACCTAATAGTTATCTCTTTACGTGTACGACATCTCAACTGTCCAATAATTGCTCAAGTAACTTCTCCCTATCATGCATTGTGCGAGCAGTTACTTGATCAATTCTGTTAACCAATTCCTGTTAACTCTCAATATATTCACTTAGTTATTAATTAATTAATTATGGGCCTCTATTATTTTGAAGCCCAATTAATTAATTAAGCCTAAATAAATTATAAAATCACAAGTCAAATCTATAACACAAAAATAATTAAAATATAGTGTAAATAATTGCCCCCCATGCATGAGATTTGTCGAATAGGCCATTTCTTCATGTGTGAGAATCCCTTTTAAATTCAAATAACTTAAAATTTAAAATAAGTCAATTTTAACTCAACTACTAAATATTTTGGTATCTTATTAAATCTTATCTGTAATTTTTAAGCTAATCCCAAAATTAAATAACAAAATCTATTAACTAATCGAAAAATTATTTACTTATCTCCTAATACTAATTAAACAAATAAAAAGTCTTCTTTTCTTTCTTTTTTTTCATTCAAACTACTAAATCTAAATACTGAATTAATCTGTTTTCTTTCATTCTCTTATAGAAACCAAGAAAAACAACTTTAGATTCCTTTTCACTTTATAAAAGTCACATTATTGTTTATTTAATTTACCTCTTACTGAGGATCAAATCAGTTTGAAGCTCCACTAGAAATTCAAGGCTATTGATCATTGAACGCGGCTTTCAATCGTGGTGTGTTTCTATTAACATTTTCTCTTCTTCGGTAATTGACAACATTATTTTCTATATTATGTATTTATTATTTATTTATTTTTACCGTGGAATCAGCCTTTTTTCACTCTATTTATTTACTGTTTGATGCGTCCCACATCGCCCGCGGAGTACATCCTGAGCTAGTGTATAAAGCTAGGTTCAGTACTTTCTCTACGAGCTAGCTTTTGGAACGAAGTTAGGGGTCCAGTCCCTTATCATTTGGTATCAGAGCTCTAGCTCCGTAGGGTTGGTGTCTCATGGGGTTCGTCAGAACCTCGACTGAGGCAGTCGGGTCTTATGGGGTTGGGGATGATGCGTCCCACATTGCCCGCGAAGTACATCCTGGGCTAGTGTATAAGGCTGGGTTCAGTCCTTCTTCTACGAGCTAGCTTTTGGGGCAAAGTT